TTAGGTAAAATTTCATAACTTACAGTTACATGAAGAATAAAAGATTCTTGACATTCTACTTGCGTTGGACGCGGTGTAACTGAATTACTCTTTTTACCCCTTGACTTTGGTTGATTAGGAAATAGATGAGGAATTAATTGAAGCAGTAAATTATCTTCTTCATCTAAAAATTAATTATTATTTAATAAAAACTAAAACTGGATATCAGTAATATTCATATAATGTGTCAAATATATTAGTTTACCATTTGTAAAAGAATTAAAGTTGTTAACAGTGTCTTTTATTTCTCCAGAATGACATTCAAGTCCAATCAGTTTTAACAATACTCCTTGTTTAATGCTCCAATTAGAAAATAATGCTTGAACGGAGTTTGGATACCTCAATTCAAAGTCTGCTTCAAGCAAAGTGTATCCTGACACTAATCTTAGGACCTTAAAGTTTTCATAATACTGATTAATCGGAAGAAATGTGTTTTCAGAAGAAATTAAACTTTTTAAACGAAACTGATGTGTGAATTTCCATTTCCTTTCAACATCAGACCAAGGTTCTAAATTTTCTTTCAACCATCCAACAGCGTTTAATACATCAATGTCTTCTGTTAATACAATATCTACTTCTGCTTCATCCGAATCTTCAACATTTAGTACATCTTCTTCGAGTAGTAATTTAGCATTACGATATTTTACATTCCTTACGTAATTGGGCAACTTTCCTTCATGATTTTTTTGATTCTTTCCGTTAGTTTTTGCGCGTATAAAATAAACGTACTAGAGAAAAGAAAAGGTAACATAATGAAAGAGTAATTACAAAATTCCATAAAACTTTATGAAACTCACTTGAGATTCAGAACTAAATATTTCTCTAATTTTGGTGTCAACTTGTTCGTAATCGTTTGCACTAGGGCTGTGTGTAAAAAATAAAATAATAAAAAATATTATTAATATAATAACAATATTATATACATATAATTAAAATACAATATAAATACAAAATGAAAGTAAAAAATAACAATAAATAAAGAAAAAATAATAAGTATAAATTAATTGTATTATTAAACTAACTTTCTATTAAGCTCTAATAATTTTTCACCAACAATGTGAACCAAATGGGAACGGCATTGTGAATTTAACAATTTATTCTTTTGATAATATTGTAAAATTGTCCTTCCTTTACGCGAATTTTTCAAAATATCTTTAAGGTTCTATAAACGAAAACATTTTTATAATATCAATATCAAATAGAATTTTTTAGAATAAAAAAATTATTCTATAGGTTATATTTTTAGGGGGTTTTACGAAAATATTTTAAAATCAAATCTTACAATTTGAAAAATCTCTTGACTCACAATCCATTTACAAATGCGCTTAGGTTTACTTGATTGATCTTGGAGTTTAGAAAATTTTCATCATTTTCACTGCAGCTGAGTTGTTCAATTTCTTCATCAATTTGAATTTCTTCGACGCATTTGGACTTTGGAGGACTCTTAATGATTTCTTGATTATTATTATCAAAAACTTGATTACTAACTAAATTTATTTTAACAACTTCAAATTTTTAGCTGCATTCTGGTTGCACAATACGATTTTGATTGATTTCTCGCAATACATTTTCACTTAATAATAAAGGATCTGATATATAGTTTGGATTTCTTATATTGGAAGGTTCAGAACAATCATTCTAAAACAAGCACACAATATTTTTTTATTTTGTTTTTGATTTTATTTTTAATCTTATTTTTGATTTTATTTTTGATTTTATTTTTTAATTTTATTTCTGATTTTATTTTTTTATTTTATTTCTGATTTTATTTTTTTATTTTATTTCTGATTTTTTTTATATTTTACTTTCGAATTTATTCTTTATTTTATTCTTGATTTTATTTTTTGATTTCATTTTTTGATTTTTGATTTGATTTTTTTATTTTATTTCTGATTTTATTTTTAATCTTATTTTTGATTTTATTTTTGATTTTATTTTTTTATTTTATTTCTGATTTTATTTTTTTATTTTATTTCTGATTTTATTTTTTTATTTTATTTCTGATTTTTTTTATATTTTATTTTCGAATTTATTCTTTATTTTATTCTTGATTTTATTTTTTGATTTCATTTTTTGATTTGATTTTTTTATTTTATTTCTGATTTTATTTTTAATCTTATTTTTGATTTTATTTCTGATTTAATTTTTGATTTTATTTTTGATTTAATTTAATTTTTTTTTTGGATTTTATTTTACTATTAATATTTTTTATTTTTAGTTTTTAATTAATTTATGTCTTTCTATTTTATTTTATTATAATATTATTTCTCGTTTATTTTACCTTCGTATTTTGAATCTCTTCTAAATGTGCTAAAAGAATTGCCAAATCTCCAATTGGTTCGATTAGTTGATTCAAGAGAAATGAAATCTTTTGAATTTGTTTAAGAGTTTGAAGGTTTAGAACCTTATGCTCTACAAATTGCAATTAATAAATAAATGTTGATTTAAGAAAGTTAGCAACAAAGAAATCTTAAAATTTTATTACTTTCAAAATTACAGATGTAATTTGGTAGTCCCACTTCACATAAAAGGTTCCTCAGTTCGATGTTCATTATTTATTTTTTAACTGTCACTTTCAAGCAATTTGAAGGTGCGCGCAAAAAAAACAAAAAACACTATTAACAATTTTTTCGTTTCTAGAGGAATCATTTCAATTATAGAAGAAAAATCTCAAATGAAAAAGAATAATTTAAATCAAAGAAGAAAGATTAAAGGTTGTCATTTAATCAAAATGTTCTTAAACTGATAAATAAAATCCTCTTTTTTTAAGATGAATATTCGCATATTGAAAATAAAATGTAAAAGTAATTGTTAAGTGGAATTTTCATCTCATTTTGAGATTTAATTTTTTTCGGTGAATAAAAACTTTATTTTATCTTCATGTCAAGAATTGATAACATCACTTGACAACGATTTATTTATAACTGACAGCAAATGTTTTACGTGAACTGAACTATAATAAAAAAACAAAAACAAACTGATTTTGAATGCATTCGTGTTGTATATCGCAATGCTTCACATTCTTCACTTTCACAATTTAAAAATGATTCGAAAATATGTTTCAAAGGCAGAATTTTGTTGTGAATTCGTTCCACGCGTGCCAAGTATGACACGGAATGTAATATTACAAGGAATGTAATAAACGATGCGTACGCGTTATCCGTGAAAACTTTGGATAGTGAATGAAGTGCGTCGTCAGGATTAATATCGGTCGAGAGCATTCGACTTTCGAATTTTGCTATAAAATCTAGCGCTTCTAATTCTCCGGGATATTTTTTTGTTATTATAAATGTAATATTTTAAAGTAAAGTGCATTTAAATTTGGCTAATTTATTTAAGCAATGAGAAAAATAAATTGTTGTGTAGCCCAAAAGTAAAAGAAATTATATAAAAATTACAAATTAAATAAAATTATAAGCATAATAGGCATACTGATGTATTTGGCAAGCGAAGCGAATACATGCTTTAACGTGCAGTACAATGTAGTATAGCTATATGTGACCGGGTCTGAGAAAAGGGACCTACTTACCAAAATCAACTTTTCGAGAAAAACGTGTTTAAAGTTTTTTATCCAAATAATTAGATTTCTTGAAACATATTTAATATATTTAATATATTGATAAGTAAAATTAATCAAATTAAAGGTATGAATAGTGATTTTTAAAAGGGTTTTCACGAGCTACAAGGTGGTGATAAAAAAAAGTTTTTTTTTAATTTGACCTTGAAATTCAAGGTCAAATTCTTAATTTCAACATATCTCAAAATCGGTTTTTTTATTTATTTATAACCTATCCCAATGGAAAGCTTGCCTTTTTTCCTATGAGCCATGTAAAAATCAGAGTGGGACCTTGAAAGCAGTAGCGGCTAAGGCTGCCCTGAGACTTGGCGGTCCTGAGGACAGCAGGGAGGTGGGCAGATGGCGTCTCCCTAAAAATTTAGTGGGAAGGTCTCTTCTCAATATGATCAGGGACAAGACGGTTCCTTTGTACCTCTTTGATAAAAAGTATAAGATCAATATACCTACCAAAGAAGATTGGATAAATGGACTGACAACCATCCCAACTGATTGTGATGTCTGGTATACAGGTAGATCAAAAAGTTAGAATGGAGTCGGTGCAGGAATCTATCACGTAACATCACTAGTGGACCACTTGTATAAGCTAAGGTCCACTGTTACTGTGTTACAAGCCGATATTATGGCGATATTCCATGGTGCTGTCGGGGCCCTAGAAAGTTTTCATGATAAAAATATTTTTATTCTTTCGGATAGCAAGGCATCAATTTTCTCCTTGAAACAATATGTAACAACATTACAGCTTTTCGGTGATTGCCATGGAGCACTAAACAGGATAGCTGGTATTAACCGCACAACCATTCTCTGGGTCCCTGGTCACAGTGAATTCATTGGTAACGACAAAGTGGATGAACTAGCCAAAGCGGGTGCTAGGAAACAGTTTATTGGGCCTGTGCCCAATTGGGATTGGGGTTTCTATTAAATGCTTGTCCCTGGAATTCAAACAGTGCGTGGCTGACGGCAGAGCACCAAGAGGAAAAGCGGGCGACTAAGGGATGTAGACAATCCAAAATACTCATGGGAACTAACTTAAATCCCAAGAGAAAAGTTTAATTCTGTAAACTCACTAAAAAAAGGCGAAAATTATAACAGGGCTGCTTTTAGTAATTAAATTGTAATGAAGACTAAAACATTAGTTGTCTGCTATATCGACAGTTGATCCTCATGATTGTATTTTCATTCAAAAATTTACAAACCTTTGTAACCTAACATTCTTTGCTTCTAGATACCTTCCTTCTGAACGCGTAACTAATTTTTATGTGAAAATTTATAATTGTATTATTTTAATCTTATATGGATAATCTGCATGCATGACATTTTTTACGTGTTATACTTTTTCGCAAGGACAATTTTATTGCATATAATATTGCTCGTTATATTTATCCAGATTCAACTTTTCCACCAAAACTGTATTTTAAAAGTGAATTTCACAGATTAGAAAAAGATTTCTCTTTCACTGGTACTTTAATAGCTGAAAAGGCTGATTTAGAAAATGTCAATGGTGATATCAACTACAGCATTAGATACGAATCAAGTAAGAAAAGTTTTCAATAGTATTTAAAAATGCAAATAATGTAATGATATAAAAAGACTAGTTTAAAATGAATCTAACAGTACTGCCGTCCTGATTTAAAAACACCATATCTACATTTTGGGTTGTTTTGAGATATTTGACAAAATACGTTTTTATTCATACTTCCTTTAACATAATGTTTTTTTCAAAAGGTAATGATGCTTTTTGAGTCAATTCATGAACTATTTTTTAATTTGTAGAGTGAGAAAGAAATAAAAAAAATTATCAAATTTTCTCATTTTTGTTTCTTGACTTCAACTTTTTCAAAAATCTAGAAAAATTTAGATAAAATTTTTCTAAAAACACAGAAATCTTTGTTAGAATTTAAGCTTTAAAATAAGCCTTCGAAATTTAAAAAAGGTTAATTCGCCTTCGATATATCATTAAAAATGTGAAGCCGAGTTTCGACGATTGGTGCATTGGAATTTAACTGTGACGACTGGATTCTAGCTTCGCGTGGCTGCGAATGGAAGAGAAAACAGGGACGGATTTACGCTGGGAAATAATAAATAATGATGTTTCACGAGTAATATAAAGAAACTCGAAAGTTCATCGTTCCCCTGCATGAATTCGTCCATGCTTTCTCTCTCATTCGCTGCCGCGCGAAGCCAGAGTCGATTCGTCACAGTTGAATTTCAATGCACCAATCGGTCGTAACACAGCTTCACATTTTTAATGATGTATCGAAGACGGATTAATCTTTTTTAATTTTCGAAGGCTTATATTAAAGCTGAAATTCTAACGAAGATTTCTGTGTTTTTAGAAAAATTTTATCTACATTTTTCTAGATTTTTGAAAAAGTTGAAGTCAAGAGACAAAAATGAGAAAATTTGATAATTTTTTTATTTCTTTCTCACTCTACAACTCAAAAAATAGTTAACGAAATCACTTTAATGACGGTTTATTTTACGCAAAATTTAATCAGCTTTCAAACCGTATTTAAGATTTTTTTGTATCTCCTTTTATTTACGAGATATGATTGAAAAAGTAATGGCATGTTTTTTCATAGAGTCGCGTGTAATCGTTCTGATACTCGTGGAGGGTAGTGTATATCATATTTTACAGTATTTTTATATATTATTAACTATTTTAATATAAAAAGTAGGTGAAGATGAAAAAATTTCTATTGATCGAATATCTGGAGAAGTGAAAGTTATTAAAATGCTCTCTCCAGGAATTTACACTTTTGACATCATAGCTAATGTGACTGAACATAACTTATCAGCAAGAACAAAGGTATTGTTAGTAATTACCCATAAAGAAATTGACTATGCATTACGTATTATAGAAGTTGAAGAAGAATCGCCTCATAAAGATATTTTATCACTTGGTAGTGAATTTTGCGATTACACAATCCAGTCTCAAACTCCTGACAAAGGTAAAAATCTTTTTCTTATCTAAAAGAGGCAGCCTAACCCTTACTCTCACTCTTTCCCTTACTATCAACTTCACTCTTACTTTCACTCTATTAAAATCACTATCACCTTTACTCCTGCCCTCAATCTTACCCATACTATAACCCACACTCTAAGCCTTACTCTCACCTTCACTCTCACTTTCACCCACACTCCCAAACAGCACGTAAGCTTTATCTTGACATCACTGTAATATTACGTTGGAGATTCATCATATTACACTGCACGGAAAAAAATTTCCTGTGAAAATTACAAGATTTCCTGTGCCATCTATGAACGGCGGTTGTAGTATCCACAAACGGCTGAGTTTGGGAAATACACAAACTAGAATGAGTCTTGTCACAAACTTCAGTTTATGATTCAACAGCTTAAACAGTCACGCAGCAGACGACAAGCAGACGTTCACTTGAATTTTCTTGCGCATGCGTGGATTTCTTGGTGTTATAACAGATTGGTTTGTGGTACACACAAACCAGCTTGTTGGAAACACAAAACTCGCCTGCATAAAGCACAACTTAACCTATTTGTATATTTTACGAAAAAGTTTGTGTTTTCTATAAGAAATTTTTTTCCGTGTGTAATATTACAGTGATCTTACTGAGATACCAAATGTCCGCCTGGAGGTAATATTACGTTGTTATATTAAGAGAATATTACATGTGAAGGCGATTAATCATTTAACTTTATTATTTGCAATTTAAATCAGTTCGCGATACATTCGTGGCGCTGATATCAAGTGCTAGAGTGGGGGAGAGTTGCGAGCATTCTCTCTGGACCCACCAACTTTTTATAGTTAATCACTGGTTAGTCACTCTCCAGAGGTCTGAGAGTAAACACTTTCTTAAATGTAATTTCAATTTTAATAAATAAACTAATTCGAAGATAATCCGAGTTCTTGATTTTTATCATGCCGGTTAGCCTTCAGATTCAGAAGTGGGATAAATTCAAAAAATTCGTGTTGTGTAACGAGAAATAGTCGTGAATACTGGGACGCGAGCATCGTGTGGTGTGTGCACGCTGTGGGATCGCGTTGAGACCGGATTTCTTGTAGTGATCGCTTTCCTTTGTTAAAAAAGGGAAATAACTTGTGAAAGAGATAAATTGAGAAAATCATTAAATACGGGTTAATTTTAGTGACTGGTGATCAATTGAAAATTTCGTTGTGTCGAGATACGTGAATAAAAGTTTCGAGAAGCATCGAGACGCGCTAAGAAAAGAGGGCGCTGTAGTGAACAGAGAGGTGAAACTGTGGATTAAAAATGGCCGACGAAGAGATACATAAGACGATGCCAGTTCGTTTCATTCAAATGAAATTGAAGATCTAGGAGAGAATCACGTTCCGAATATGCTACAAGGTCGACTGCACGGACGTGAACCAATCATGATGAACGTAGAGGATTTGATTGCGGCTACCACAAGAGCAGTGATCAACACGATGAGAGAAGTGAATTTTGGTGCTGAAGGTGGGGGACCACAGCGCCACCGCGTCAGGCGGAAAATTAAATACCTAGTTTTAAATATCGAGATGTCGCAACTTTGATTCCGCCGTTTGGAAAAGAAGACGACGATGATGTTGAGCGCTGAATTCAACGAGTTAATGAAATCCAATTGTCATATCAAGTACCAGACGAGATTATAAAACTTTACGCAAGTCAACACCAAGTGTGCACGTACTATAACTGTTCTAGACCAAAAAAAGAACAGTGTTCTAGAATAAGTGTTACAATTTTATTATAGAACAGTTCTAGAGCTTTGTTCTAAATTTGTTCTGGAACAGTTGTTCTGTATCTGTTCTATAACAGACATGTAACATTTGTTCTAAAGGCCGTAGCAGTATAAGCATGTAAAAAGTGCCCCCTCTGGGATTGGGTCCATATTTAGGGAATAATTTTGAACTATTATGAGACTTATTTTCACCAAGTTTCAACTCGAAAAAAAATTTTGTTTTTGAGTTATACAATTTTTTTGAAAAATTCAAAAAAATTAAAAATATTTTTTTCCCTCCAAAATGGTTGAACCGATTTTCATGAAAAACTTTTTTTGTACAATACAATATGAACAGTTAATAAAAAAAAAATTTCGACCAAATTCTAACAAAGAAAGTCAGTAAAAAGTCAGTAAAAAAATTTTTTTTTTTTTTTCTTTAAAAAACATTTTTTTTTATTGAAATTTTTTTTGCACCACCGCCATTTTTTTCTATAAAATAATAGTCATTTCAAGAGTAACATATATTTTTTGCAAGATGATTGAAAGGGTACTTCATACTTTAAAAAATAAAAAACCGATTTTTGGCCCCTAAATAGTACAGTTTTCTACACGGAGAGAAGGGCGTAGTAGATTCTACTGACATGGCAGTTAAATCTACTAAACAGAATCGTTAGGTTTGGACTGACGGTACAGACAGTGCCATCTACTGCACTGTTTATTAAGATAGTAAGATACACTGAGCAAACAGTATATTCTACTAAACAGAGATGTGTCGTAGTGTATTATACTAAACATACAGTTGGCGCCACTAACCGGTGCACTAAATGATTTACTAAACGCGTTCTGTCACATTTACTGCAACTCTTCTCTCCGTGTATATAAACGAGGGGCCAACATTTTTTAAAATTACATTAAAAATTAATTAATACTTAAATTAAATTTCTAAAAAAGTTAATAATATATGCCTGTTTATTGTAAATATTGATTTTTTAGTATGTACAAGGTTAATTAATAAAGTAAATGGACGTACACTACCGTCGGGAATTACCGGTACGGCTGCACGCGCACGGCCCAAAAACATGTCAATCACTGAGAAATCGATTTATTTGATTCAAAAAAATTTTGTTTAAATCAAACTTAAAATATCTTTGCTATACAGTCAAACAAATTTCAGTTTAATTCAAACATATTTTTTGGTTCATTTATAGAAATAATATATTCAATTCAAACAAAATTTATGGTTGATTTTAAATTATTTCTAATCAACATTTAAGTTTGGATCAAACATAACATTTTTAAACATATTCTTTGTTTAAACCAAAACAGAAAATATATTTGAATTAAACACAATTATTCAAACAAATATTATTTTTGAATCAAAGCAGTAGATATTTTCTATACATATATATTGGGATCTCACGAACCGATTAAGATTTTTAAACTCTTATGGTCTTAAGTTAAAGATAAAACTTAAACCTATGTAAATTTCAAATTTTTTCTACAATTATTAAAAAATATGCTAAAGTTGAAAAAACTTCAAAAAAAATTTATTTTTTTGTAAATTTTTTTGAAAAGTTGACTAAAAAATCAATATTTACAATAAACAGGCATATATTATTAACTTTTTTAGAAATTTAATTTAAGTATTAATTAATTTTTAATGTAATTTTAAAAAATGTCGGCCCCTCGTTTATATAGAAAACTGTACTATTTAGGGGCCAAAAATCGGTTTTTTATTTTTTAAAGTATGAAGTACCCTTTCAATCATCTTGCAAAAAATATATGTTACTCTTGAAATGACTATTATTTTATAGAAAAAAAATGTCGGTGGTGCAAAAAAATTTTCAAAAAAATGTTTTTTAAAGAAAAATAAAAAAAAAATTTTTTTTACTGACTTTTTACTGACTTTCTTTGTTAGAATTTGGTCGAAAATTTTTTTTTATTAACTGTTCATATTGTATTGTACAAAAAAAATTTTTTCATGAAAATCGGTTTAACCATTTTGAAGGGAAAAAAAATTTTTGAATTTTTTTGAATTTTTCAAAAAAATTGTATAACTCAAAAACAAAATTTTTTTTCGAGTTGAAACTTGGTGAGAATAAGTCTCATAATAGGTCAAAATTATTCCCTAAATATGGACCCAATCCAAGAGGGGGCACTTTTTACATGCTTATACTGCTACGGCCTTAGTTATAGAATTTTGAAGTAACATTGTTCCTACAGTGTTCTAGAACACTGTTACAAAAATTTAATATAACTGTTCTTTCACTATAAACTTGTGTTTATTTTCACTACACGGAAAGATGTTATTATTAAATTTTATAAAAGTATTTTACAAGTGTAGGACAAAATGCGACAAAGGAAAACTTTGCTATCAACAAAACTAACACAGTAAATCTTAATTTAAGATCGGTCTTAAATTCAGCACTGTCTGCTATAATGTTAAAGGATACAAAAATGTTGTATCTTAATTTAAGGCTGCTTTCCTGCTTTAAAATATGACTTTCTTTTTACTGTGAAACTTTAACAAAACGTACCTATATAAAATTTAGTAAAGTTATATTAAAATTTGTTAAAAGTTTTCGATATTTGATATAACTTTACTAAATATAGTATAATTTTTATTAAAGTTTAAAACTTCTAATATAATAACTAATATAATAACTTTCTTTCCGTGTAGAGTGCAGCCGCGTTTTTGCATGAATTATAAAAAATCTTTTGAATTAAGATACTTAGAAAGACTCGTATCGATGATTCGTGAAAAATTAAATAATTTTTCACTGTCAGCTTGCATAAATTTTCAAGATTTTTAAAAACATTATTCACCAACAATAACATCAAATATTTAATTAATTTATTATCAATTATTAATTAATAGGTATATCATAAAAATACAATAATAAATTATTATTATTAACTAATTAATTAAAATTTTTCATTATTTGTCGCATAATTATATATTATTATTTGTAATAAAAAAATTTATATATATATATATATATGTTACCGGCAAAACCCGAAGACCAGGCATTTTGCGAAATGCCTAGGCAATTCGAAAAATGCCTAAGAATTTAGGAAATACCCGAATTTCCTAGAGATTTACAGGCAGTTCTCGAATTGCCTAGGCATTTCGAGAATTGACTAGGCATTTCGCGAATTGCCGGGGCCGTTTTAGGCAAATTATCAATTTGCCTAAAAAGGCTTCGTCATTTCGCGAAATGCCTAGTCAATTCGAGAAATTGACTAAAGAATGGAG